GTATAGCCCTTCAACCCACACAACAAAGCACCAGAATTTGTGTCTATTTTCAAAACAACCTTTCTCGCTCTATTTTTCATGTTACTCAGTCCAGACTCCCCATCCAACATACGGACCTCATCAGATAATGCTCTATCCTGTAGCCAGATGCAATTCCCATTATATCTTCTGGTGCTCCAAACTTCAATAAGATTTAGTGGACTTTCCCCCTGACAACTAGGCCTACCACGCCTTCTACGTCAAGGCTCTGACTTGTGATATATGAAGTCCGGTGTTTTCACTCTTGCCAGAAAAGTCTCGTAAAAGATGCAGATTTCGGGGCCCCTTATCTGAAGAATCCAACCCACTCAGGGACGTGCAAGTTCGGACAGTTCAGTGGTGGAAAGCACCTTAAGTGCCTGGCTCATGCGGAGGGATGAACGGAGAGAGGGAGAAGCTAAAATCAGGAGACTTGGGTTCAACTTTAGATAGCGTCACTTAACTGAATAACTTGGGACAAGTCACGTCCTTCTGAGCCCAGACTTCTTACCTGTAAAAGAGGGAAGATTTGACCAGATGAACTGTTACGTTCTTCCACCTCTCAAAGTGGTTATGATCGCGGAATCAGAGGACCTGTGTGCATATACTGGCTGTACTACTTGTGAACCACTGAGTGCCACTTTGGGTCAGCTGCACGATCTCCCTGATTTAGAACCCTCACATGAGGGAATAATAGCAGTAATTATCTGCTCACCCTTCTCTCCCCTTTAATGAAGCCTAAATGAAATAATGCCTATAAGCATCTAACACAGAACCAGGCTCATATCAATGCTCAACAAATTACTATTACTCGGGGGCTCTATGACTTGCTTCTCTGAGAGCCCCTCTTTCTTTCTCACTTGTCACCTTGAGCTTAGCCGAAGTCTCCTGAAACCGTCCATTCGTTTTTATCTTCACCTCCGACCCACTAAAAGCTCTGGGGCAAGTCACCGGCAACTTGGCCGCACAGTCAACCTCGGACTCCTCCCCCAAACCGCGGGGCCCCCACTTTCCTTCAGAATCAAGGTTCCGACTAGACGCCAACTGCGCGAAGAATAGTTCCGGCTGGAGCCCAGCGCCCTCTCTCACAACTCCAGCCCCATCCGCCTTGGGTCTATTGAGCCCAACCGGCATCCGGCGCGGGTGGAAGTGGGCATGGCGGGAGGGGGCGGGGCTTCCAGGAGGAGGCGGCAGGTTTGAAAAGTGACAACGGTCGTCGCTGGCTGGTTTTTGACTTTGCCTCGCAGTTACTCCCCGAGCTGGCCGCCTTCCTGCGGGCGGCTGGTGCTGTAGGTGAGCACGAGCGGGCGCGGGAGGACCGAGGAAGGGAGGCTGAAGGCTTCCTCTCCCTCCCGAGGGCGCGGGCCGGTATCGGCACGCTCGGCCTTGCTGTGTTTTCATTGTGCGCAGCCGCGGGAAGGATGCCGGAGCAACCAGCGCCTGGGAAGTGGGGGAGCCCACAGTTCTTTTCATTTGATCTTAGTCCCCGAAACAACTTGAGCTCAGTTTCTACGAAGCTAAGCGGTGTTATTTGGTGTAGCATAGACTGTGGGAGAAGAGACTTGACCTGAAGCTGGTCAATTTAAGCTTGTGTTTATGTTTTTAAGTCCAGCGAGGAGTATTTGAAAGGGTGGTGGTGATAGGGTTTATACGGTTGCGGATGCTTGTCAACTTTCTACAGAGCTCCGTTGCTCAGACATCTCTTAACCAAATCCTAAACCTTGTATCAAAAAGCCAAAAATGTTATACTTAATCCAAAATTCAAAGGAAGAGAGTGGCGTGTGGCAAGGGAGCAGTGAGCCTGTATGGCACTACGCATGCGTAACACGATCGTTACCACCCGCCCCGTATGAGTTCTTCGGGGTTGAGAGGCATTTCTGTTTGTTTTTGTTCAGTCTCTGCCTCCTGGAATTGTGATTTACACGAACTTTTAGCAAAACGAAATGTGTAAAATCTAACAGGTTTTCTTTCAATACCTGTAGTGCTCAGCATTCCTGGTGTTGCAAATAAATGAGAAACTGGAGGGGTAATTAGCTGTTAATCTCAGCCACTTGTTAGGCAGTCAGAGGGTCACTTTACGCATATTAAGCCTTTTATTTACTTAGTCCTGCCTAGCTCAAACTTTAGTTGGAAGGTGTCCCTTTCTCTCTCTCCCACTTCCCCTCTCTCCCTCCCGTATTCCCCCCCCCCCCCCCCTTCCCCCCCCCCCCCCATACAAGTCAATGAAGAGAATTGGAACTGAATCTGTACTGTGAAACGATGAAATTTGGATAGAGGAAGAGATTGCAAAAGGAAATTTGGGGGAGACTAACTTGCAGCAGAAAGTTTATTACATTATTAACGGTTTTAGAAACCAAGCAGAAAAATTTGAATTTGATGCGGTAGGTAAGTTGAGTAATTGGAGTAGTTTTGTACAGAAGTTACACGATGCATAAGTGTTTTATAATTGTGCAAAACATACTAGAGAGGGGAGGGATGTGTGATAATTAGGAAGATATTTTACAACTGCTTTTTCTGTTCTGATAGTCTCAAATTCAGTTGTAGCTTGTTTTGGAAACGTGACTTTTTCTGTAGTCTTTCTTTGGTGTATTCTTTTCATCAACAGTTTTTAGATCTATGACTTAGGTGAAAATATAGAATGCTTGATTATACTGAAAGGGACATCTAATAATGTTTAGAGCCAGAATCTAGATTCAAAAAGATCCTAGCTCTAAAATGAAAGTTTGCAATTATGAAATTCAATAGTAGAAAATACAAATCTTTGCTTAAGGTTTAAATAATTATGTAAGAAGAACATAGAGAAGTCCTGGCTTATAAAAGTGGGTCATATTGAAAAAGTTCTTGGAGTTTCAGTTGGTAATAATATATATTTGTCATTAAATGCTACAGTTGTAGACTAGATCAACAGAGGTCATTGCCTACAGTATTAATACTCTGCCCTTGGCAGACTATACCTGGAGCGTTGTGTTCAGTTTGAGTGTTACATATTTAAGAAGACATTGATAAAATAGTGTGTTTTAGAGAAAAGTGAGTAGGATGGTAAAGTTTCTAATACGATGCTGTATAAGGAGCGGGAATACATAAAGAAATTATACTTACCTTAGAGATGACAGGGCTTAGTAGAGGCATGGTAGCTTTCTTCACATTTTTGAAAGTACTGTCAAATGGGAATTAAGGTTATGTGTTCTATTTAGTTGCAGTGACTAGAAATAGGACCAGTGGGTAAAATTACAACATATTTCTACAGAGTATGAAGACAAGTTAATTAGAGTCATACCAAAGTTAGAAAAAGTTGCCTTGAGAGTTAGTGAATTCTGTGATGTTTTCAAGTGTTCAAGCAGAGCTGAGAAGTTGTCAATCATCTTTTAGAATGGCTTCCTACACTTATTAGAGGTTAGGTAAGTTGCTAAAGCTTTTTATCCCTAATATTCTAAGAAACATTAGAAGCGTAAAGCAATAGATTTCCAGAATTGTGGACCATTTCATTTTGTTTGCAAAATTGAACATATTCATACTGGGTCTCTGGGATCATGGTGCTTCAGTGCAGAGTAGGGGATCTGTAGGTAATTACAGGTATTTAAGTAAATAGCATGGCTGCTATTGCTTTTCCTTTTTCTCTTACTGTTGCTATTCTGGTAGGCACAGTTAGAGTTATGAAGAAAATGAAAAGGTCTTAGTTTACTGGGATCTCACAATGTAGCGTCAGAGTTTTATAAACATAATCCCGATTACATTTGATAAGTATATCAATTAATGCAAGGCTCTAGGGTGGGATTTTTTAACCTTAGCATTATTGACATTTTGGACTGGATAATTCTATGCTGTGGGGGGCCACCCTATGCATTGTAGGATATTTAGCAGCATCCCTGGCCTCTATGCAGTAGATTCCAGTAGCACCCCCATTCCTTTCCTGACAACGAAAAATGTCTCCAAACATTTCCAGGTTGGGGGGAGGGGGCAAAATTGTGAGAGCTACCACTGTAGGGGGACACAGGTACGAATAACTCACTACCTGACATTAGGGAAAATGGTTATTTTCATCATCTTTTTTTTTTTTAAGTTCTCACTTTGTTGATTGAAATTCCTGCCAATTACACCATCTATTCTTACTCTATTTTTTCTCTTCCTACTTGGCATCTTAAATCTTATTAACCATCTCACTATGTATGTATTGAGTAGGATGTCAAATCAGAATTCAATTTTGTTGCCTACCCTATGTTACTATTGTTTACATATAGCTTCTGCTGATGGTGTCACCTAGATGCCTTTACTTTGAAGATTAATTCTCAGGATCAGTCTTGTTAAACCAACTGACCTCAAATGTAAAAAAGAAACACATGGTTAAGAAAAGTGGCAGAAAATGACTCTGTCACTTCAGAATAAAAGTTATTTTAGGATACACACATATATATATAATTTGCCTTTATCTTACTAGGATATTTGTTGATAGTTAACATTACTATGAATAGTTCAAACTTTGTTAATTTTCTCCTTGTATTTATGAGTTTCCAAATACTGAGAACTCTGGTTGTGTGATATTTCTGATCCTTGTCTTTCTTCCTTCAGACTAGCAGGAAATTCCCAAGATGGAAACTTTGTCATTCCCCAGATATAATGTAGCTGAACTTGTGGTTCATATTCGCAACAAGATCTTAACAGGAGCTGATGGTAAAAACCTCTCCAAGAATGACCTTTATCCAAATCCAAAGGTAAGATGTGGTTGTGTTAGCATGTGCACAATGGTATTTGAGAACAAAGTAAACTACTAAGTCTTAAGTTGTGGCAAGAAGGACATACACCTTCCTATTTGACGTAGGCCAGTAATTTTAATGGAGAGAAAACCTCTCACCTAGTATAATTTTAAAATAACATTTAGTTTACATGTGGGGTGACTTCTACATTTCCATTAGGAATTCAATTCTTTAATATGGTCGTTTTCTTAAAAAAAAAACTTCTAAACCATATTAAAGTATATTAAATTTTTTATTCTTATTATTGGAATGGTGGTCTGAGGGTATTGTTTATTGGTAGGGCTTGAAGGAACTTATACCAAGAGGCTTCTAACCACAAAAAAATGCTTAGAAACAATCCTCTTTGGAAGCTTACAGATTAATTTTCTTGCATTATACTCCAGGGGGAATTGACTTGTTTTGACAGGCATTGTTCTTTATATCTTTAGTTATTAAATGCAAAAATGAGCTATTTATGTGTCACAGAAAATCCCAAAATCTCCTTCAAATTTCCTGTGTTGGTCTTGAAGTGATAACATAGTAAAACCTGGTTTCATGATGTAGAACTTAAACTTTTTGATCTCAGTACTCCTTTAATTCTTTAAAGTGGGAGGAATGATCTCAAAATAAATGATAAGCCTTTAAACTGATTAAATTTAGCTTTACAAAAAGGTTACCACATTTTCTCTATATTTCTCACTTTACTGCTTACCCAGTAAACTTGTATGTGGATCACAACAGGTTCACAGGCCAGCACTTGGGAATGGCTGATGTAGAAGATAAGGTTTTAAAAATTCTGTACTATATTGAATTCATACCCCCTAGACAAGTATTCCCTTAAACTTAAAATCTGAGGAAACCTTAATATCTAAAGCAGCAAACAAGGTTTCTCAGTGTCCTTTTTAAAAAACATCTTCAGTGTGCCTTTATTTCTGCTACATGCAGCCTGTTCTGAAAGACTAATCCTTCTTTCTTTCTTTCCCTAAACTGGATGGGTTGCTTGGATTGGATTTGGATATTCTTGCTCTCATTCTTAAACAACTGATCTCATTGACCAGTTATTACATATGAGCAAACTAAGTATTATTAGGTGTTATAAAACTTGGAAAAATTAAAAAATATTTCAAGGGGACTAGAATAATTTTGTCACCCTTTTCTGTTTTGCATTCATTGACTAAAATATAGGGTGGTAATGATGATAGTGAGACAGTTTTAGAGTCATGCTTCAGCATATTATCTTATTTTTTTAAAAGATGACCGGTAAGGGGATCTTAACCCTTGACTTGGTGTTGTCAGCACCACGCTCACCCATTGAGCTAACCAGCCATCCCTATATGGGATCTGAACCCGCGGCCTTGGTGTTATCAGCACCGCACTCTCCCGAGTGAGCCACAGGCCGGCCCATGCTTCAGAGTATTAAAAGTTATTTTTCTATTGTAGCCTGAAGTCTTATACATGATCTACATGAGAGCCTTACAAATAGTATACGGAATTCGACTGGAGCATTTTTACATGGTGAGTTTAAGATGAGGCAAAAAATTTTTTTATTTTTTTATTTTTTTGCTGTAGTTCTCTTCACAGTATGTACTGGCTTTTAGGATAGGAAGTTCTTTATTTTTAACAAATTCAAAGGCTTATATAAAATTAGTGTCACAGAGGAATCTTAGGCATAATTATGGTTTATACTGATAACTTTAGTAAGATGAAAACTACAGTAAAGAACCTAAATAATACTTGCAAATTATTTATGCTATGCAATTGTTCATAGATATATAGGTTTGTCTTCAGATACTATAAGCAACAGCAAACTTTTCACAGATATTGTTCTTTTTTCAGGAAGGACTTTCAAATTAGAGTAGAAGATAGGCAGTAAGAATGAAACAATTGAAATGAGGAAACTGAGCTTTTAGCAAGTTAGATATTTCTAGTAGGAAAGATCATTTTTCTTACTCTTTTTTGTTTTTGTAAAGCAACATCTGAAGATGCATAAAAAAATAATGTCTTTGGAATCTCACCAATATGATTGCATATTGTTTAAAGCTCAAGCTTTACCACTTATTTGCTATGAAGACTTACTAAGGCTTAGTTTCTTTGTTTATGAAATAGGGATAGCACTTTGTTATAGTGTTGTTGTAAAAATTAAAGGAGAGTATAGATATAATTCCTAGCATAGTACCTGATATTTAGCAAATGCTAACCATTGCCCCTTTATTTTTTCATTAATTTAAAAATCTTTATTAAGCACTCATTATGATTTTAGCATACTTATATTAATGACAACTCTAGGTTTGTACTGGGATCTGTATTATTTGTTTTTTAAATTTAATGATAATAAGTTAATATATTTTGATCTTAATCTGTGATTAAGGTTTCTTATGGTTGAAGATTTTTCTCATTTTGTCTAATCAATGTGTAACTTAGATTTTGTGATTTATTACATTTAGATGCCAGTGAACTCTGAAGTCATGTATCCACATCTAATGGAAGGCTTCTTGCCATTCAGCAATTTATTTATTCATCTGTGAGTTAAGAGTAGTTTTATTTTCTTAGTCTACATTCATATTTACATTACATTAAGCTTTCTTCATGACGTGATTTTCTTTGGGAAGGGATTTCTACCATCTTACTCTCCACTCCGTCTCATATACATTCAAAATTGTAGATGTCCACCAAACAGAACAGCCTCCCTGTGACACTTTCTCAGGATGCTTTCAACTGAAGTTCAAAGATGTAAATTTAGAATTGTTTGCTATCTTTGTCAAGGGTTTTGAGTTCTTAAAGAGTCTTAGCACCTCCAAGAGTGTGTGATGTTTACTAGAATCTATAACTATAGTTTGGTATTACATGAATACTTAAGTAATATACAGAAAAAATAGATTTTAGTGTTTTATGATTATGTATTTTAGTAGACTTCTGCCTTAGTCCTTTGACTTGAGAAATATATCCAGAAATCTGTCTTTGAAAATATGATGTTTATATACTATGACTTAGTATGTAATTTACAGTACAATTTTCAATATTCTTTCTCTGCTTCATCTTCAAGGGACTCATTTCTGCCCATCTGCCGGGTGAATGACTTTGAGACTGCTGATATTCTATATCCAAGTATGTGATAATTTAAAACAATTTTTAATGTCTGGCTTCAGTGTACCATTTCACCTTTCCACTGATGAATTAAAAAAAAAAAAAAAAAAGGAAATAGGCTTTAGAAAGTATATCCCGTCCTTAAGGATGGATTTTTTTATATTCTATTACTGGAATTTTTTTCCTTTCTAGATGCACAGAAAAGCTGTTTTTCTGATAATTTTTTATAACTTTAAATTTTAAAATGTTCTATAAATTTGGGAATATGAACACAAATAATAAGCTAGCATGATGTTGAATAGTGAATTCATCGTACCGGTTTTATCAAATGTAGCAATTACTTTTCACCATGAAGAAATTATCTTTTAGCACTAATAATAGTGATGGTGTTATATTTAGTATATAAAATTCTCCTAGCCTTGTGTCCCTTAATTTATTTGACTTTTTTTTTTTTTGGTGGCTGGCTGGCACAGGGATTGAACTCTGGACCTTGGTGTTATCAGCACCACTTTATTTTTTTTATTTTGGTGGCTAGCCGGTATGGGGATCTGAATTCATGACCTTACGTTAACAACACTGCTTTCTAACCAACTGATATAACTGGCCATCCCCCATTTGACTTTGATATTTAACCATCAGTTTATTTTGTGTTGCAAGAGACTTGGTGTGGTGTGCTGTTTATTTTATTTTATTTATTTATTTTCCTTTTTTGTCTTTTTTCGTGTCCGGCAACGGTTCGCAACCCTCAGTGTCGCGCCCGTACCGGACCGGGACCGGCAACGGGATCGCAACCCTCGGTGTTGAGCCTGCACCTCGCTCAGCCAGTGAGCGGGAACCGGTCTGTATGTGGGATCCGAACCCTCGG